CGCCCCCGCGTCCGACTCGGGGTCGCAGCGCTTGCCCGGCAGGCTGGCCAGCATGATCTCCTGCCAGGCCTCCCCCGTGGCGCACCTGCGCCCCACACATCGGTGCGACCCTATAGGGCCCCTCCGGACCCTATAGGCCCCCCTCCCCCAGCCCTGGCGGCGTCTCCTGCCAGGCCTCCCCTATAGATGCGGTACAGATGCCCTGCAGGGACGCGTAGGTCTCAGGAGAGCTCTATAGGAACCCCACCGGGACGCCACAGGGACTCTGTGGGGAGGCCACAGAGCACACAGGGACCCTATAGGGACCCCACAAGGACCCTATAGGGATCCTATAGGCCCCCTGTAGTGACCGACAGACCCCAAGGGGGTCCACAGGGACACAATAAAGACCCGGAAGGGCCCCCCCAGATCCCATAGGGAGCCCGCGGGGACCCCAGAGGCCCCCACCCAGATCCTATAGGAAGCCCGGAGGTGTCCCCCCCGATTCTAATAGGGCCCCCATAGGGCCCCGGCCCCACCTGAAGAGCAGCAGCACGGCCTGGGGGAAGGTCTGGAAGTTGTTGTTGCGGTTGATCTGGGTCCCGTCCTGCAGCGCCACCTTCCCAAAAGTCTGGGGCGGGGGGGAAGCGGCGGGCTTGCGGGGACGCACGCCCCTCGCACGCCCCTCGCACGCCCCTCGCACACCCCTCGCGCGGAGGGGGCGCGGCTCTCGCACGAGGCCCCTCACCTGCATGCCGATGACGGCGTAGATGAAGAAGATCATGGCGATGAGGAGGGCGACGTAGGGCAGGGCCTGCGGGGTGGCGGAGCAGTGGGGTGAGGGCGCGTGGGTGTCCCCCGGTGTCCCGTCCCCCGCCCCGCGACGCCCCACCTGGAAGGACTTGACGAAGGTCCAGAGCAGGGTGCGGATACCCTCGCCCTTGGACAGCAGCTTCACCAACCGCATCACCCGGAAGAGCCGGAAAAAAGTGATGGAGATACGGGAGCTGTCCTCCGAGCTCTGCGGAGAGCGGGGGGGCGGTGAGGGGCACCCCAAAACTCCCGCACCCCCCCCGAGAACACCCCCGTACCTCACCAACGTGACCCCCGTTCTGTCCCATACAGGCGTCGGGAACCACGGATGGAGACGGAGGTGGATGGAGACAGAGGTGGACGAAGACAGACAGATGTACGCGAGGACCACGGACACGGAGGGAGGGACCCCTCCCCCCCCCCCAAATGTCCCCGGATGCAGAGGACGTGACTCACGTTGACCTCGGTGACGGCGATGTCCACCACGCTGCCCACCACGATGAGGGCGTCGAAGGTATTCCAGGCGTCGCAGAAGTAGTGCTGCGCGCGGGGCGGGGCGGTGAGGGCCCCCCTCCTCGTGCGACGCCCCCGCCCTCCT